ATGTGCTTGGTAGCAGCATCCTCAGTGTAATCATTACAAAAGTACAACACTGATTTCTCCCTAGGGTAAATGGGAGAAGGAAGCGATTGGATAATGCCAAACTGTCGAGAGACAAGATTTGGATGATAAGCAATCAGGCTCAGATGATTCTTTGAACTCTTGAAGCGCAATGGCATTATCCTGGGAGTGAGAAATGCTTCCCACAGTGTTGTGTGCTCTTCGAGGTGAGGATCCTCTGATGACTTGGGATGGGGCCTGGTGAACCACTCTGGACCAAACTTTCGACGGGCAAAAGGAGCCATGGTCGAGGTAAATTCCTTCCTCCCTGCAAACATCAAAACGAAGTTTGCAAAGGTCTGTTGGAGTTCCAGCCCATCCTCAATGGGAGTCAGTAAAGCCAGCCTGGTACCTTCGATACGCCTTCTGGCTATCTCAGGAGCCTGTTCGTTTATTTGAGCCTTCTGGGGTAGAAAAGACTCAAAAGTGGCGTTTAGCCATAGTTGTAGTAGCCAGAAGGGTCCAGCGAGCAGCAAGCTGGCTCTATTTTCTATTACCTTTAATAGAGTCTCCCCACTGCTTATCGACTCATATAGGTTCGCCAGTATTAATTCGGCCAAACAGATGTTTTGACCGTGATGAAGCTGAGTAGCAAGGGTGACCATTTTCTTCGTCACCTGTAGAGATTTCATGCAGAACACGAAGTGTGACAGCCAAAGGGCTAGAAACTCAATGTGATCCACGTCCGTCACCACAGCCGTCGATTTGTCATGATAGTGGTTGGTGTAGGTGGTGTAAGTGGGTTTGGTGGCTGAAAACCCAATCTGGTCTTCAGACATTTCCTCTGGGTCAAAGTAATCCCCAATTGGTCGAAGACCAGTAATGGCAGCCACGTCGAAGAGAGTGGGTGTTACCATTCCACAAGGCAGGTGGAAGGTGAAGTGAGTATAGTCCCAAAATAGCAAAGAAGCTACCAGTATTTCAGGAGAATAGTTGAGACCAGTCTTTGACAACATGACTAGGTCATAAATCCCCATGTTCTTCCAAATCGAAGCCTGGCTTTTCTCCATCTTGTCGAGCCAAGCGTTGTATTCTGGTGTAAGGCTAGGGCTATACCTAAAAGCCCTAACCCCTCTGTTGAAGAAACGAAGATCTATCTTTTCTTTTGCAGGATCTTCGTTATCGTCTGTCGCCTTTTTGGAGCACCCAATGGGCTTGAGTGCCTCATGCACGGGGAAGAAACCCTTGATCTTCGTTGGGTCAGTGATGCATGCAGATAGAGGACCAGACATGGCGAAAACCTGGTTGGAATATCCAACAGGAATCAGCAGTTGAGAAGAGTAAGTCTCACGCTCAGCATCTCCCATGGGTTCGGGAACCCTTCGCATTCCCTTAGAGTTAACTGTTGGAGCGGTTGAAAATATTGTCAGTTGAGCAGTTTTAGAGGGAGTGTTAGAACTGGGGACATTGGAAGAACGAGAACCTGAAGCCATTTTTTGGTTTGAGATGAAGATGGATGAAGAACAAAGGTTCTTGCAGAAATTTTTGTTCGACTTAAGGCTTGGATGAAGGAAAGCGTAAAGAGTCCCACGAGGGGCACTTAGTGCTATTTATAGTGATTGGAAAATCACAAGACTCGAGGTCATTTAATGTCTCAGACTAGAGTGGGGCACGTGGCGCTCATTTGGTGATGTAGCCGTTCTGCAGAACAGAAGCGGTGCAGCGTGCGTCCTCGATTTCGGGGAATCGTCATGATGACAATCTGTGAAAGGACATTGGGCATGCCAAACGCCTTACTAAAGCGACGTCTTAGGAACAGGTGGAATGATGGCTTTTTGAGATTGTCAGTTGGTTGGTAGGAGGCAAAAAGCGCACAAACTAATCTGTGGCTAAGAGTGAAGGACATGTGTCGAGTGGAATCTCAAAGAATGCCTTTTTCTTTTCAGCGTCGAAATAAGACATTCTTGGGGGGCAATTTGTTGGCTCCTAAATTCGACACCCTTGTTTGTTATCAATATAGACCATTAATTATGAGTCAGAAGAGTTTCCAGGCTTCGACCAGCTGATCCTGTCGAAGGCTCATCAGAGAATGACAAGGTACTTAGAGAATTTCCTTCAAGTGGGAATCTTGTCGTCTTCGACGTCGAAGGAACCTCTCGACAAAGGTACCTGATGCCCAGGGTCGAACGGTTTGAGATTTGAATGCTTGGAGGGAAAACGGTTCCCAGCAGTTACCAAGTACAACGTGCCGAGATCAGGAGCGTCGAATGCTGTGAGCGTGCCATGTGGCGTCATCTCGAAGCGACGTAACTGCCCAACAGTTACTTAGGATTTGTTTTAGTATAAATACTAGTTGTTCACGTAGTTTTCGAGTGTGTTCATCATTCTATACAAGTCACTCATCTAGATTCAAGTACCCAGTGTGAGCGAAAGAATCGTTGAGAATGTATGTGTGAAACACCATTTAAATTAATCAAAGTCTTTTATATTCAAGCACTTTATTGCTTTTCATTTACTCATCTCCGTTGAAGCCTTTTATTTAACGCTTTTATTTATTCTATCAAGCTTTTCTTCATGCAATTTACTTAAAGTGTCTTTACTTTACGGGCATTAATCACCATTAGGATTAGTCAAACTCTAGAAAATCAACCATGTCTTAGGATCAATCTGATCGATCCTGCGAGTCACCAAATAAGTAACCTTTTGGAAGATCAGCGGTTGTTTACCAATTTCCACGGTAAACACAATTTTCTCAAACACGTTCTTATCCACACACTGATAGATGAAGAACAATGCATTCTGATCTTTCTTCCTTGTATCTCTCTGTGCATTTCTCTGTTCCTCCGTCGCATCTGCTACAACTAGAACATAATTATTTGTATAAAGCTCAAGAGCATCCTGAGCGCCAAATAATACACACATTTGAGTCATACAACGATTCTAGTTTTGGCCATTAAGTACTGGAAGTTTGGTACTTAGACTACCATTTCTGGTCATCTTCAACCTTGTACAGAACACTCAGATCTCAGAAACACAGTATTTTCCAATCCCACAGAATCAGAAAAAGTTGATCTTGTTCAGATTTTGGTCAAGATTAAACACGAATTCAAGAATCAAATTCAATCACACAACGCCTCACCGTTTCACTCGTGTTTCCTGTGAATCCAACCAGAGCTCTAGATACCAATTTATTGGTGCACAAGGTTAATAAATAAAGAAAAAGTAAGAGAGAATAATATTAAAGTTCTACAATGACGGCTATAAAGTTATAAGGAAGAATGATTGAACACTGCTTATTGTTACTGCTACTGTTACTGTTACAAATGACAGCTACCACTAGTCTATTTATACACAGAGTAAATTGTCACGTAGGCTCTAATAAAAATAAATTTAACGACTAAGTTAAAAGATAAAAACTAGAAAATACTAAACTTAACAGTCACGTTAATAAACTCAGCTCAAGAACCCCAGAAGCTAAGCATACTTCTAAGCATAACCTCAGAAACTTCTGCTTCTGATTAATAACATCTTCTGATTACATAAAACTACTGCTTTTAACTAAGCAGTCTCATAAGCTTACAATTTCTGACTAACAACCTCAGAAGCTCTACTACTTCTGAATAATAACATCTTCTGAATTACTTCAAACATAGTCAAAGTCCTATGCAATCACAATTGTTGTTAATCATCTGATTCAGATTCAACGATTCAGATTTAAAATTGATAATTTTAAAATTATAAAATAAATATAAATTTGTTTTTTCTAATTTTATGATCATGATCCAATGGTTATTAATGTCGCAACATATGAATACCATTTTTTCTAATCGCAGAAGATTCAATTTCGTTCACTTCTGAATTCCATTTCTATTTACATTTTTTTTTCGTCGAGTTAGTCTCTTCTTTCGATAGGTAGAGTTGTTTCTCTAGAATAGTAGTGTCACACATCAAAATAAACCTCACCCATTTAATATGGTGTATAAGAATTACGTGAGACTAACGTTGACCAATGCATATACGATTCAACACTTCATGGAATTGAATATGAATCATGTTATTACTATTATTATGCACACACATTGTCACATGACTTCTGACATTGTCTTCCAAACAAACAACAAACCCAAGGCCTCAAGTTAATGTTACATTGCAATGTCTTTATGTAACATATGCAAGAAATCCCAAGACAAAACAACGAAAAGGGTTATCAACATCCTAAGTTAGCATAAATTCTAACAACTAACAACTATGATTTTAGAATAGAAGTGATTGATCCGTGAAAGATAGTAAAATTTAGATGATTAATACGATATGAGATCTTAAGTAGAATCAATCAGTTTGTGAAAAATCATAAAAACATTAATTTAGGTTTAAAAAAGTCTTAATAAGTTTTTCATTACAATCTTACTTCACAAAGCTTGATTTTGATCATTCAAATGATACAAACAATCTTTCTCGAATCGTAACTCTCTCAAATATTTTTAACACATAAAATCTTATGATCTTATAATTTATTCTTAGTAGATGATTAATTTTAACTGCTCGATTAAATATGTTAACGATATGATACAAGTTGGACGATCCTGTCAAATGGTGTGGACAAAATATAATATAAATAATGAATTAAATTTAAAAAAGAAAGTCTATAAAATGATCTAACAAAAAGTACACATTCATAGGTTTACCTTTACTTGTAGTAATTAAATCTGCGTAATTAGTAGTTTTACTTCTTGTGATAAAGATTGTTAAGCACATTTACAATGACCCAAAACATGTCCCCACCACAAAGCATAGCCACCCAGAAGATAGATAATGTCACAACTTTCCCACACCACTAATTTTCCGCCACGTGTCCTACACAGATTCTCTTAAAACTCCCAACATCCCCAAAAACAGCAAGAACAATCACTGCAAATACAAACTTCACCTATTTTAACACCCTTAACACTGTCTGTCCAAAACTGACCAACAACCAATTAATCACTCCCTCCCTCATTCCACAAATGTTGGAGCAAAAATTCCTCACCACCACCTCGGCCACAGTCCGGTCCGCGGCCACATGGCCGCGAACATGTGACACGTGCCGTTTGGCGCCATGCGCGGTATTTTGCCGCGCAGACTCGGCCTACTTATGCGCTGGATGCGACTCACGCATCCACGCAGCAAACCGCGTAGCCTCGAGGCACGAACGCGTCTGGGTCTGCGAGGCCTGCGAGCGTGCCCCGGCGGCTTTTCTTTGTAAAGCCGACGCTGCCTCTCTTTGCTCATCCTGTGATTCTGATATCCATTCGGCTAACCCTCTTGCCAGCCGCCACCAACGCGTCCCGATTCTTCCGATTTCGGGGTACCTTTACGGTCCTCCGACGACCCTTTTAGGTGCTGACGATGAAGGCTTTCTCCGCGGAGGCGGTGAGGCCGAGGAAGAGGAGGATGAAGGTGTTGATATGGAAGATGAAAATGAAGCAGCTTCATGGCTTTTGTTGAATCCTTTGAAAAACAACAATAACAATATCAATAACAACAGCAACAACAGCAACAACAACAACAACAATCATAATCAAGATGGTAATAACGGATTTCTGTTTAGCGGCGAAGTCGACGAGTATTTAGATCTCGTTGATTGTAATTCTTGTGGTGGTGAAAACACTTTCACTACAAATAATTCTCATCATGATCACGAGTATAGTCAACCGCAACAACAACAAGATCATTACGGTGTTCCTCAAAAGAGCTATGTTGGAGATAGTGTCGTTCCTGTTCAACAACAACATGTACAGAATTTTCAACTTGGGTTGGAGTTTGAATCTTCCAAAGCTGGATTCAGTTACAATCGTGGTGGTTCAATTAGTCAAAGCGTAAGGTTTCTTCAATTTCTCAACTTTTTATGTGTTTTTGTTTGACTCAATGATTCATGTTCTTTTGTAGTATTTGTTTGCAAAGGTTTGAAATTGGTGAAAAATGAAAATTGAAAACTACTAAAAAATTCATTTGTTTGAATCTCAAATTAATCTAATTCAAGATCTTGTGCCTCTTTGTATTTAACTTTTTTTTTTTTAAATTGGGGGAAAATACAAAATTTTATTAATTCAAGTGAAATTAATTATTAGTTTATAATTGTTCTCGAGTGAATTCGAATTCAAATTCGAATTCTAAATTTATATTTTTTTTTTGTGTTAGTAATGTGAGATGCAAAATTTACCTTTATAATTCAAATTCTATATTTGGACTGATTTTTCTACATAATCATGATTTTTCTATCATATAGATGATTTTGCTATTTTGAACAAGTTCATACAAACATGATGTTTCTGATTTTTTTTTGCAACTTTTCAACTTTCTTTACCTTTTTTTTCTTTTCTCTTTTTTCTTTACACTTTTTCTTCTTTAATGGCAAGAATCTAAGGACCAAGTATCATGCTTTGTTGCTAGAAAACGGTTCTAAGTTTGTATTTTACAATTTTCTTAGTATATTCCTTTCTAGGCTTTTATCAGTACAGAACAACAAGTACAATCTGTGTTAATGGCTTTCACTTTTGGATTCTCATATGTTTGGAATATTTATCTGCTAGGGAAATATTCTTCATCTTTCCACCGTCTGAAATCTAATTCTCTTAGATTTCTGTCGATGCCATAAGACCGTCGTGTTAGTGTTGCGATGGTTTTAAGTTGCAGTCGCAATCGCTGATGCTGTTGCGATTGCAGGTGTTGCGATTTCGATTGGTGCAACGCGCTTTGTAGATGTTACAGCGTGAATTTTGATTGCGAGGTGTTTGAAATTCACAGATGAAAGATTGCATAATGCTAATGCATTTTTGCCTTTATATTTTTTTTCTATTATGATCATTTATATGATTTTAAATTACTTTACAAATTACGAGGTCTGATGTAGTTGCGAAGACTACTAAATAGTAATATTGCGAATGTAAATTACAGTTGCGGACCGTAATTTAAAATTGCGTTGATGCAACTGTTATTTTAAACTTTAATTGTCTGTGAAATATGTTATATTTTTTTTTAATAAAAATTATGTTAGGAGAGCTTTGTTATATTATGGTCTCTTTCGACTCGAGAAATTAATCTTTGTGCGCAAAAGCTATATCTCATTTATAAAAAAAAAAAAAAAAGAATTTTAACTCCACCCCTTAGGTTATAGAATCAAGCTCATAACATTGAGCTAAAGTGATATAAAAATCTCAATTATTGAATTTTAATATTTCATGCATTTTGGTTACTAATTTATGCTTCATTACACCTTATCCAAAATCAGGTTTCAGTTTCATCAATGGATGTTGGAGTTGTACCAGAATCAACAATTAGAGATGCCACAACAATGTCATATTCAAGAACTCCAAAAGGAACAATTGACCTATTTTCAGCTCCTCCTATTCAAATGACTTCTCATTTCTCTCCAATGGACCGAGAAGCCCGAGTCCTAAGGTACCTCGAGAAAAAGAAAACAAGAAAATTCGAGAAAACAATCCGATACGCCTCGAGGAAAGCCTATGCGGAAACTAGACCGCGTATCAAAGGTCGGTTTGCAAAGCGGACCGACATAGAAGCTGAAGTCGATCAAATGTTTTCTACAACACTAATTACCGATGTTGGATACGGAATTGTCCCCTCTTACGTATGACGTTAAACAAAATGATCAAAACGATCAGAAGATTAAATGTCTTTGCCAGAATCACGATGTCACCGTGGTTTCGTTAAACATTACCTACAAAATTTCTAGCACTTCTGTTTTATTATCATATAAGTTTTTCTATTAATACTGTATTTATTTTTGCATATAATCTAGTTATTTGCATTTGCACTAATTAGATATATGTTTTAATAGCTTGTTTATTGTAATTTTAATGAGACTGCTATTTGTAAATAAAATCCTTATATTATCTCAAGTTATTAAATTCTTGTCAATGTATCTTTTGAAAAAAATTGTAATTTTTCTTCATTTGTATTGTGGTGTGTAATTTCTATAATAAATATATATTGATGCAATATAAAGAGGATTATAATTTATAACCATCATATATGTTTTGCATTTTATACTATTTAATTATCTCTTCTATGCACACAAAAAAACTTTGATACTGTTGAATTTTGAAAACTAAGCATGTTTCTATCTAGTTCTAAAAACTCTAACATATATATGACAGAAATTAAGCATGTTTCTCTCTAGTTTTAAAAACTTTAATTTTGAACTGTTGAATTAAAATTTCTTCATGTGCAAGTAATCTCACATATTTTACTTAAGCTTCTCAAATCTAGATACTTTATACAAATTGCAATCGATTGATTGAACATGATTTGAACATGATTTCGGGGGTTGAAGAGTAAATCAACATTCGAGTCTGGAAAATTGTAATAATCAGTTAAATTTGATTATCAAATCTATGAAATAACAATTCGGCCCCTTGAATTAAGGATATCAATGAACTTAATTTCTTTATCAAAATATACTTTTAGTTAATAGCCATCAAAATCAATGAAAGACATGCATTCCAGCTTAATAGTCTCATGTTGCATTAAGATAAACATATAAATTATAAAATTATAATGCAAACTCTAAATTTTTTTCTCAAAATCAAGATACGACAAAGGAAAAATAAACAATATCAAAAATATTCAATAATCTTAAAATCGATAAAAACTCAAGAGTACAAAATAACAACAATTGATTAAACAAATAACAATTAGGTAGAAAACGAAAAAATTACAAAGTCAAAAAAGAAGAAGGGCAAAAACAAACACCACAACAAAAGATTAAAAAATAGAGAATTAACAAGCCTTCGAAAAAGAACCACCACCAAAAATTAGGATTTTTGTCTCTCAAAAATAAAAACCGATTTATTCACAAAATTAGATTCACTCTAAATAGGTGCAAGAACACGAGAGGTTTTAACCCGAAATCATTTTCAAAATTGTTCGATTATTATAATTTCATAAATTAAATTGTTGATATACTCATAAATTAAAATATTTAAAATTAAGGGTTAAAAAGAATTGAAAACTCAAAATTCAACAATGGTTCTAAATATATATAGTAACAATTAATCGCTAACAATTTGCTATTAAATAAAACTCATGGCTTGAAATATGGTTGATAAACCAAACCTAACATGATTCGACTATAGTGTAAACAAAAAATAAAAGCAAAAGCAATAGGATGGAATATTGAGATTAATAATCATAAATATAATTCCTTAATCATTCCTCTAAATACAATGGACCTACATCATCCAAAGATCATGGGAGCTTTTGTCATATTCTAAAAGAAGAAAAGAAATGTTTCATGAATGATCTACTTCTAGCCAAAGTTTCTATAATATTACTTTTATATTTTAAAAAGTCATGCACATGCAATGATGAATTTACCACAAATTAAATGTATGAACATAGTTTGAAACTTTAGCTTTAACTTGATTTCATGATTAGTCATTTTAGTTGACATGATTGGATTGTGATAAAAGAAAACAAAGTAAAGATATCTTTTAAACAAATTAAGGTACTTGCAAATGCTTTAAATTTCATCTCAAATGAAAGACAAAACTTATTATAGAGGAATCTATATGACCCTGTTGAGCAATAGGTGAAAATGTGATGTTTTGTCCTCTTCTTAAATGGTATATATTATTTTGTGTTGTAAACTTGTAGAGCTATAAAAAAGTTGATTGCACTTTTTGCCATTGTGGAAGTGAATAATTTACAAAAGGAACTAGGGAAAAAAATAATGAATCAAGTTGTGATGCTTTGTGATCTTTCTTCTTGTTGTCAATGGTCCATCAATATTGGAATATGATCAAAATAGACAATACTATTGGTTGATACACCATTGGTTATCTTAGTATCATTTAATTTTCATAGAAATATTTTTATGAAGTGTTATATGTTCATCAAGGGTGTGAAATGTTTGTAAAAATAAGAGCTCTTGAAATATTAAAAGAATATTGTGCTATATAGACAATAGTTAATAGAGTCACATAGTGGTCCTATAAAGTGGATGCACTTTTTCACTTTTATGTTTAAACAAAGTAGAAGAACTTGTGAAGGTTATTCTTGCATATATACTGGGATTAAGACCCCTTGCTTAATCTTGATGTCTCTCACTTTATTGGATTTCATATGAGATGAGCTTTAGACAGATACATTATACATATGCATCCACCAACTTTATTACAAAGATGGGAAAAACCAAACCGACTTTGTATTGATGATACTAGAAATTAAATTATAAAGATAGTGTAAAGTGTAAAAGAGTCAACTTTTTATAATGTTATGTAGGCTAGGTAATCAAATTCAAAGACTAAGTATTCTTTAATTTGAATCTTAATAAATTAAAGTTTTTCATTTGATCTTACTTTTTTTCTTAAGTAAGACATGTTTGATTATTTGATTAATGTGCTTGCATATTTAAAATTATGTCTATTATCTTTACACTCATAAAGGGGAAGAATTATACTTTGAAGAAGAGTAAATTATACTCTCTATTTATATGAGGGGGAATTTAAATACTCCAAGTTTTATCTACTAGTTTTTTCTTTTATCATTTTCTTGAAAGATACGTTGTCATCATAAAAAAGGGAGAGAATATTAATCTATATACCTGCAGGTATAATCGAGAAGTAATCCAGGATGATAAAGCTCATGGATGGCAAGATTCAAGAAGAAACTACCTAGATTTGATGATGACATGGATTTGATGATAAGAACACTTGAAGTGGTTTCGATGATGACAACACTTTTATTCAATCAACTACTAGAGTTAGCTTATGCGGTCAAAGATGCACAAAGTAGTTGATCAAGTTCAACTTCTCCTTTTGAATCAAGATAAATACTTTTTGTTTAAAGTCAACACTTTAGTTTAATGACTCTCAAGTGAAGACTTAGAATTTCTGATCATTGGTGACTTAAAACTTCTCAGATGATGACAACTAATACAAAAATATCTCAAGCCTCATCAAGAAGACTCAAGGCTCTTATAAAAGTCAAAGGTAATGCCAAAACTTGAATCTACAGAGTGTGAAAGAGAGAAAGGGTGAAAACTCGTCTGATCTTGTTTGTCAGGGGTGATTAGTGTATTATTAAGACACACGTGCATTTCTATAAGTATTATGACTAAATGGCACACACTTAAAATAATGAGAAGCCTCTCATATTTTAAATAAAACAACTAAAATATGTTTTTGGAGCCTAGCTGGTTGATTATGAGGTTGTATGCTTGATTAAGAAATTTTTTTCTAAGTTGTCTAATCAATTAGATTTATAGCCTAATCGACTAGATAATGCATAATCGATTATGTAATGAAGTATGACAATATCTTAATGATTGATAATGCCTCCCTATCTAAACCTTTCAATTTAGGTTGGAATAATCGATTATTTGCACTGCCTAATCGATTAGGTCATTTAATTGACTCATAGATTGATTCCATATTTACACCATTTCTTGGCTTATAAACAGAGAGTTTCTCTATCATTTCAAATAAACCAAAAAATTTGAAAAACCTCACTTTTAATTTCTCTCATAATCTGTCTAAATTATTTTTACTTTTCTCACATATTTTAGTCATAATGCTTTGACGGTGTTTTTAAGTTTAGTAAGGAATTATTTTGGGTGAAGGCTTGGTTGTAAATTTATCAAGAGTATATTTTTCTATCGAGTAAATCATTCTTTCTTAGGAAGTGGTTATTTTGGTTTGGAGCTAAACAATTGTACAAGCTCTTTGTTTGTTCTTAGTGGGTTAGTATAAGTCTTCTCTATTTTTTCTTCGTGAAGATCAATCAGTAAAAAAATTTCAGAATGGTTCTTGAGCTCAACCTATCATACCCCAAAATTTCCACCCTTTATTTCTACGGTCGAAAATATTTTCAATATTGGTTTTATAATTTCTTTGATTTTTGTAAATATTCACTTTTAAACCTATTTAAAAATATAATAATTTATTTCAGATCGTTTGTACTTTTGAATAAACAAATACTTATTCGTCTTCATGTAATCTCAATTGTCTTTTTTATTTCGAATAAGTAACATAACACAGTTGGTAAAGAATGAAGCTTGCAATTATGAGATTGCGGGTTTGAATCTCTTGTGTTTCACTTTTAACATTTTTTCTATTTTTTGTTACTAATTTTCTTTCCTTTTTTGGGATCAGGCTTTGGACTTCTTTTGGTTTTTGGATAACTTACTCTCTAAGTTTTTTAAACTTAACTCTAAGTCTATAAATAGGATTATTTGTTCATCATTTTAGGGGAAGAGCATCAACAAATCAATAATCATCCACAACACAAACTTACTATCTTGCTCTTACAATTCTTTTAGGGTTGTTGACTGTATCAGACAACAATCTCATTAACAATTTTCATCAACAAATTCTCATAATCACACTTTTATCAACAACTTTTTTTTCAACATTTTCTCTTCGCACACTTTCTTTTCAATTTTTCTCTTAAAAAACTTTTAGTGTTACGGAAAAAATTTGGTGTTATTGTTTTATTATTGACTGATGATTAAATTGAGGCCTCCCTGATATTTTCAACTCCTTTTAATTTACTATTGTTTCAACCAAATGATGATTATTGATGGTTGCCCCTTTTTAAAATTATATTTTTATACTAACAATTTTTCTAAATCCG